TACTAGATGTGTAGCTGATTGTCCAGTTGAGTAAAGGTGACTTCGTACTAGATGTGTAATTGGTTGTCCAATTGAGTAAAGATGGCTTCATATTAGATGTGTAATTGGTTGTCCAGTGGAGTGAAGGTGGCTTCGTACTAGATGTGTAATTGGTTGTCCAATTGAGTAAAGATGGCTTCATACTAGATGTGTAATTGGTTGTCCAGTGGAATAAAGATGGCTTCATACTAGATGTGTAATTGATTGTCCAGTGGAGTAAAGGTGGTTTCGTACTAGATGTGTAATTGGTTGTCCAGTGGAATAAAGATGGCTTCATACTAGATGTGTAATTGGTTGTCCAGTGGAGTAAAGGTGGTTTCGTACTAGATGTGTAATTGGTTGTCCAGTGGAATAAAGATGACTTCATACTAGATGTGTAATTGATTGTCCAGTGGAGTAAAGGTGGTTTCGTACTAGATGTGTAATTGGTTGTCCAGTGGAGTAAAAATGACTTCTTACAGCCGAAAATATCGTTAACACACTAAGAGCACACAGCTGATGAATCAATGCATTGTAATTTATATACAATTTGAATTTTGACTATATATCCAGGTATATTATATTAGCTGTATTCGTTATGGAATTAGTTTTTATTGTGATCTATGTACATAGCTTGCTTTGATCAAAATTTAATGATCAATCGTACTACGATTGTCCTTAATTGTACAGTGGAGTAAATCTGACTGCGTATTCTATAAACCGGTAGAGAAAATAAACAGTACTTAAAACAGTGCATCTTATGTTAATCATATGTTTAATTTCTGAGTGTAATAGGTCAATCTTGTTTGGATTCTCTACAGTTTTGTACAATGCACAGACCAGTAAAGAGAATACACTGTATTTAGAACAGTGTACGTTGTATTAAGTATATTTACTTTCAGAACGTAATGACTCAATCTGAGTTGGCTTCTCTACTATTTTGAAAAATATATAGACAAGTAGAGTTTGACTGATCTTCCTGACAGAAGAGAATGTAAGTCACAAAGCTAAATTTGACTGATCTTCCTTACAGAAGAGATCAGTCAAACTTAGCTTTGTGACTTACATACTCTTCCTTCTGTAAGGAATGTAAGGAAGATCAGTCAAACTTAGCTTTGTGACTTACATACTGATCAGTCAAACTTAGCTTTGTGACTTACATACTCTTCTGCCTTACAGAAGAGTATGTAATTCACAAAGCTAAGTTTGACTGATCTTCCTGACAGAAGAGTATGTAAGTCACAAAGCTAAGTTTGACTGATCTTCCTGACAAAAGAGTATGTAAGTCACAAAGCTAAGTTTGACTGATCTTCCTTACAGAAGAGTATGTAAGTCACAAAGCTAAAAAACAACGATTGTTCATATTTGTTCTTTACATAGAAACATAATGAAATACATTTAATAAATGTTATTTTACACACAAATGATACCCAATTTATTTACCTGGTAAATAACGTTCTCTGTGTAGGTTTTGATAGATCAATCCCTGGATACGCCCGATATTCGATGATTGGAAACCCTAAAGATGGTGTTCATACGTTGAGAATAGAAAAAATTATACTAGACGATGATGCAGAATACCAGTGCCAGGTACGTGAATTTTTTACCAAATTAACTTATTGTAGTTATTAGGTAAAAACAGTACTCAACTGTTATAATGAACGTTACTTAACAAATCTAGTACCAAATTAACTTATTGTAGTTATTAGGTAAAAACAGTACTCAACTGTTACAATGAACGTTACTTAACAAATCTAGTACCAAATTAACTTATTGTAGTTATTACGTAAAAACAGTACTCAACTGAAGTTATAATGAACAGTACTTGTCAAAACTAGTACAAAACAAAATTAAAATGTCTAAACTCATTATCACTAGTTAGTTTTATTTAATTCAGACTAAAATGTTTAAACTCATTATCACTAGTTAGTGTTATTTAATTCAGACTAAAATGTCTAAACTCATTATCACTAGTTAGTTTTATTTAATTCAGAATAAAATGTCTAAACTCATTATCACTAGTTAGTTTTATTTAATTCAGACTAAAATGTCTAAACTCATTATCACTAGTTAGTTTTATTTAATTCAGACTAAAATGTCTAAACTCATTATCACTAGTTAGTTTTATTTAATTTAGACTAAAATGTTTAAACTCATTACCACTAGTTAGTTTTATCTAATTCAGACTAAAATGTCTAAACTCATTATCACTAGTTAGTTTTATCTAATTCAGACTAAAATGTTTAAACTCATTATCACTAGTTAGTTTTATCTAATTCAGACTAAATAATGTCTAAACTCATTATCACTAGTTAGGTTTATTTAATTCAGACTAAATAATGTCTAAACTCATTACCACTAGTTAGCTTTATTTAATTCAGACTAAATAATGTCTAAACTCATTATCACTAGTTAGTTTTATTTAATTCAGACTAAATAATGTCTAAACTCATTATCACTAGTTAGTTTTATTTAATTCAGACTAAATAATGTCTAAACTCATTATCACTAGTTAGTTTTATTTAATTCAGACTAAATAATGTCTAAACTCATTATCACTAGTTAGTTTTATTTAATTCAGACTAAATAATGTCTAAACTAATTATCACTAGTTAGTTTTATTTAATTCAGACTAAATAATGTCTAAACAACTGTTTTTGGTTTCTCTTTATTCTCCAACTTTTTTCTTTCTTTCTGTGACCTATGGAAAAGTTCAGTAAATTTTTGAGGGCTAAAAAAATGTAATTTTTTCTCGCAACATGGAACTTTGCTATTTGTGAGTTCCGTTAAAACTCTCGTTATCGAGTACGTTTCCAGTAGTTACGTATTATTTAACTTATTTCTGTTTACAAATCATACAAATATACAGTGTTTCAGTATAATACTGTTATGTGTAGTTAATATTGTGAGCGAGTTATTTGAACCAATATGATATGAACATCAGTATTCATGCTTGTCTAGTAACACAACATTTCCCTTACTTTTATCCTCACAGGTTGGACCTACAGTAGACAACCCTGCAATACGAGCCAAGGCGCACTTGACAGTGTTGTGTAAGTATGGCTTTTCTAATCCACAGTATAGTCACGTGAGCCGTACAGTTTGGTAGGTTACTCAGTGTTATCGGTTGACAGTGTTGTGTAAGTATGATTCTAAATCCACAGTATAGTCACGTGAGCCGTACAGTTTGGTAGGTTACTCAGTGTTATCGGTTGACAGTGTTGTGTAAGTATGATTCTAAATCCACAATAAACTCACGTGAGCCGTACAGTTTGGTAGGTTACTCAGTGTTATCGGTTGACAGTGTTGTGTAAGTATGATTCTAAATCCACAGTATAGTCACGTGAGCCGTACAGTTTGGTAGGTTACTCAGTGTTATGGGTTGACAGTGTTAGAGTGGTGGCAGCAGGCTGCTATATATGTACGTGGTTTAATCATAACTGTCATTCCATTGGTTGTTAGGGTACATATATATATATATATATATATTACTTTGCTACAACAAGAGATAGGAAGAATTCTAGAGAAAAGAAAAAATTAGCCATGAGATCCACACCAGAAAAAGATCAGTCAACAGATCCACACCAGAAAAAGATCAGTCAACAGATCCACACCTGAAAAAGATCAGTCGTCAGATACACACCAGAAAAAGATCAGTCAACAGATCCACACCAGAAAAGATCAGTCGTCAGATACACACCAGAAAAGATCAGTCAACAGATCCACACCAGAAAAAGATCATTTCTGAGATCCACACCAGAAAAAGATAATTTCATGAGATCCACATCAGAAAAAGATCATTTCATGAGATCCACACCAGAAAATATCAGTCATCAGATACACACCAGAAAAATATCATTTCATGACTGCAGATTTTCTAGATCATATAGGGAAATGTGTAATTCTATGATTTTGGTTGATTAGAATAAAACTGCTTGTTTAAAGCCGAATAAACATTTTCATAATTCACTCTAGATTGGCCCGGCATGGCCAGGTGGTTAGGGCGCTCGACTCGCAATCAGAGGGTCACAGGTTCGAATCCCCGTCACACCAAATATGCGCGCCTTTTCAGCCGTGGGGGCGTTATAATGTGACGGTCAATCCCATTATTCGTTGGTAAAAGAGTAGCCCAAGAGTTGGCGGTGAGTGGTGATGACTAGCTGCCTTCCCTCTAGTCTTACACTGCTAAATTAGGGACGGCTAGCGCAGATAGCCCTCGTGTAGCTTTGCCCGAAATTCAAAAACAAACAAACACTCTAGATCCTCCTATGTTTGTTACCTATTAATAAAACAAAATAAACATTTTCATAATTCACTCTAGATCCTCCTATGTTTGTTACCTATTAATATAACAATATTAACATTTTTCATAATTCACTCTAGATCCTCCTATGTTTGTTACCTATTAATAAAACAATATTAACATTTTTCATAATTCACTCTAGATCCTCCTATGTTTGTTACCTATTAATAAAACAATATTAATATTTTTCATAATTCACTCTAGATCCTTCTATGTTTGTTGTCTATTAATATAACAAAATAAACATTTTCATAATTCACTCTAGATCCTCCTGTGTTTGTTACCTATTAATAAATCAAAATAAACATTTCCATAATTCACTCTAGATCCTTCTATGTTTGTTACCTATTAATAAAACAAAATAAACATTTTCATAATTCACTCTAGATCCTCCTGTGTTTGTTACGTATTAATAAATCTAAATAAACATTTCCATAATTCACTCTAGATCCTCCTATGTTTGTTACCTATTAATATAACAAAATAAACATTTTCATAATTCACTCTAGATCCTCCTATGTTTGTTACCTATTAATATAACAATATAAACATTTTCATAATTCACTCTAGATCCTCCTATGTTTTTTACCTATTAATAAAACAATATTAACATTTTTCATAATTCACTCTAGATCCTCCTATGTTTGTTACCTATTAATAAAACAATATTAATATTTTTCATAATTCACTCTAGATCCTTCTATGTTTGTTGTCTATTAATATAACAAAATAAACATTTTCATAATTCACTCTAGATCCTCCTGTGTTTGTTACCTATTAATAAATCAAAATAAACATTTCCATAATTCACTCTAGATCCTTCTATGTCTGTTACCTATTAATATAACAATATTAACATTTTTTCATAATTCACTCTAGATCCTTCTATGTTTGTTGTCTATTAACAAAACAAAAAAATGAGTGAGTCAGTAATATTAACGCACGCAGAAAACGTCCTAAGTGTGCTTAATAATTTTATAGCAAAACAACGATATGGTTGTGTCGCACGTGCACAATTAGCGAGCCACCACCAATACTTAATAAAAACAATGATCCTGAATTTTCAAACTTATAAATCCAGAAAACAGTCCTGTTTGGTGATATACAATAACTGTCGCAATCTGAGGTTCGAATCCCGTCCTTGAACATGTTCGCCCTTTCAGATGTGGGGGCATTATATTGTGACAGTCAATCCCGCTGTTCTTTGGTAAAGAGTTGTTGTCAAAACACTTCTAGTCCATCACTTCAAAACCAGCGCAAACGTTCTTTGAGTTGTTTTGCACAAAATTCAAAATTGTGCAAGTAGATTAGTTGGTTGCTATTATATAATGGACTATCTGTTCTCTGTCTATCACTGATATCGAACCTCGAACTTAAGCGTCGTAAGCCTTTAGAATTTCCGTTGAACCACTGGGAGCAACATAAGCCAAACAGTCCTGTCAGAGGGCAGATTTTGTTCGCTAAAGTTGAAACCAAGTACATGGTCAGATTCCTCCTAAAGTTAGTAATTACTTTACATTTAATCAATCGGAGCAAGTCTCAGGCATTGATGTTAAAACGACTCATCACATCATCCTTACTAAGGACATCTATCATGATATATATATCTATTGATTAATTCTCTTTCCATTGGAACGAGCGTCCTGACTCCTGTGATATGTGCTGCTCATATCCAACTAATTCAGTTAATAAACGGAGCTCTGGACTGCAAATTTACGTCTTACAACGACACACACACACAGATCAGAAGTCGTTAATAAAAATGTGTGATAACAATCACGTTAATTAACTCCAGATGTTTGTTTTCTCACATTTCTCATACTTTGTCAGTTGTATCTCAAAATCAGAGGCGTGTAAAAAATAGCATTTCAAATATATCTTTTGTCTCCCACAAGTCACTGCCCACGAGGCTTTTCATTCACTATTAAAACTCCTCAGTTGGAGTGGACGATGATAAACTAAAGATTCTCAGAAACACTGCTTCTATATGCTTTAAAAGTTACAAGGAAAGCTGGCGAACTATTAGAAAAACAACTTCAGTTTTTTGTGTTGTTTTTTCACATTCTTATTAGTTTATTCATTGCGGATTCAAAATTAGAGGCGTTTAAACCATAACTTTTCAAGAATTTTATTGCATATATAGATAGTGTTTTAGTGGTATTGAACGAAGGGCCTCTGTAGTTAATTAACGTGAATTTTTATCACAAATTTTAGGCCTATTAGTTTTCAATGTTTAAACTGCAACTTTTAAATTAATATACTTTGTTTTTCAATAATAAGCCTTTACAGTAATTTTTAACAGGTGTATTAATTTTTAGTTTTTCTTCAATTATTGTTGACTTTCGCCTAATGAGTGGCTTTACAACAAAGTGTATCTTAGCACAAGTGTTCAGTAATGACTAAAATTGTTTATGACTTTAGTGGTGTTTTTCTAATTCTTTTAACAAGATTTAAGTTTTAAAAACATAATAAGTGTTTATATAAGTATAACTATAATGTATATTTATGTCAAATTACTTGTGGACATTCTGCGAACATCTTAGTACAATAAATTCAGTTAAAAGTTGATCACTTTTGTTAAGACTTGTTTTTCAACCTTTGCAGTACCGCCAACATCGATTGCAATTGAAGGTTATAAGAATGGGAGCACTAAAGAGGTCAGTCTAGATGACACTGTTAGTCTAGACTGTACAGTAGCTGGAGGAAAGCCTGCTCCTCAGATCATCTGGTACAGAGAAAACAGGAAACTCAGGCAAGGTAAGACTGATCGATAGTCACTACTGGTAAGACACTGTTAGTCTAGACTGTACAGTAGCTGGAGGAAAGCCTGCTCCTCAGATCATCTGGTACAGAGAAAACAGGAAACTCAGGCAAGGTAAGACTGATCGATAGTCACTACTGGTAAGACACTGTTAGTCTAGACTGTACAGTAGCTGGAGGAAAGCCTGCTCCTCAGATCATCTGGTACAGAGAAAACAGGAAACTCAGGCAAGGTAAGACTGATCGATAGTCACTACTGGTAAGACACTGTTAGTCTAGACTGTACAGTAGCTGGAGGTAAGTCTGCTCCTCAGATCATCTGGCACGGAGATAACATAAAACGTAGGCAAGGTACGACTGATCGATAGTCACTACTGGTAAGACACTGTTAGTCTAAACTGTACAGTAGCTGGAGGTAAGCCTGTTCCTCAGATAACAGGGAATTCATTATGCAGTCAATGGAGATTATTTAATCATGTAAAGTATGGTAGTTTAATAGATACTCTGAACTTTCTAATTAGTTTAAAGTACAAGTTCGTGACTGAATGTTTTCCGAAGTTAACACATAAACCTTCCTGTCTAAGCTGCTGAATTAAAGTCTGCTAAATGAAGCTTTAATTGTACTTGTAATTGCTCTGAATGAGACGAACAATAGAGAACAGTGGTTATAATAGATATCTCAAGGATAGAATATTGATCTATAGCGAGTTTATTGTCATTTTACTATAGAATAACGTGCGTAAGACAAATCAAAACATGCTTTGGGATAGTCATTGTTATCTGTACTTTAAAACATGCAGTATGTAGTCGTTAAAAGTTTATTTTATTTTCAGGAGAAAATTTCTTATTTATGTTTACCTTTATCATTTTTCATGTAATGAATAAAGTAATTAATGTTCATCTTTATTCTTAGTGGTGCTCACCTCTAATGGCATAGCAGTAAACACGATAGTTTATAACACCAAAATTCGAGGTTTTATCCCTGCAGTTGGCACAGCACAGATAGCCCGTGTGCAGCTTTAGGCTTAAACAAAACGAGCAACCAAAATCTTATTGGATGTGTTTTCAGCATTTAATTCTTCTTATGGATGACGACTTTTAGTTCTTTCGGTAATATCTACAAGAAACAGCTACTACCTAGTTGACCAACTTATTGAATGTATGTTTGTAGCTGACATAGTTTCTTCAGACGAGAAAACTGAAGACGAAAGAACAACTGTTGTTAGTTCTTCGAAGTTCCAACCAACACCTGAAGACAACGAAGTCGTGTATACATGTGAGGCGAGTCATGCTGCTCTGGATAAGCCTCTCCGGTCATCTGTCAAGCTCAGTGTTCTGTGTAAGTAAACTAATGATCCAATATTATTTGAAACTTGGCAGTGAAGCCCAAGTTTCTCTTGTAATTAAATTAGTAATTTTGTGAAGTTTAGCATCCTGTAAACTACCAGTGAGCTCAAGTTTCTCTTGTAGTTAAATTTGTAATTCCTGTGAAGTTTAGCATCCAGTAAAAATATCAGTGGAGCCCAAGTTTCTTCTTGTAATTAAATTTGTAATTCCTGTGAAGTTTAACATCCAATAAAGATATCAGTGGAGCCCAAGTTTCTCTTGTAATTAAATTTGTAATTCCTGTCAAGTTTAACATCCAATAAAGATATCAGTGGAGCCCAAGTTTCTCTTGTAATTCTTGTGAAGTTTAGCATCCAGTAAAACTGTTGTTGAATATCAGTTTTCTCGGTAAAATAGTTGTGAATCTTTAAAATTCCTGAAAACTTTTATATCGTTTGAAGTATATTGAGACGTGTTTTTCTTTCCACATATCTTAAGGCATGTGTAAATATTTTTAAAAAACTTCCATGACTCCCGAATTTCCTGTAAACCAGTAATTCATTACTTATGGCTATCTTACTTTAAACATTACCGAACTACCATCTATTGGCCCTACATTCTTAATGCTAGGGAAGAAATAGTTGTTAAGACTACCCGAACTTTATTAAAATTACCAGGCCTATGTTTGAAAACTATAGTGCAGCTCATAACTAAATTTTATATTTTTCCAGCATAGCTTGTCTTCCTGTTCGTAACCAGTGAATATCTAACGCATTCTTAAGAAATTCTTAAAACTAGTTCCTCTGAGATAGACTAGAATATTCACTGTGTTTATACTTTAGACCACATTGGACTGTCAGCAATCAATGGTTATCTAACGAGGACTAGAAGATTCACTGTGTTTATACTTCAGATCACGTTGGATTATCAGCAATCAGTGGTTATCTAACGAGGACTAGAATATACACTGTGTTTATACTTTAGATCACGTTGGATTATCAGCAATCAATGGTTATCTAACGAGGACTAGAAGATACACTATGTTTATACTTTAGACCACATTGGACTGTCAGCAATCAATGGTTATCTAACGAGGACTAGAAGATGCACTGTGTTTAAACTTTAAATCACGTTGGATTATCAGTAATCAGTGGTTATCCAACGAAGAATAGAAGATAAACTATGTTTATACTTTAGATCACTTTGGACTGTCAGCAATTATGGTTATCTAACGAGGACTAGAAGATACACTATGTTTATACTTTAGATCACTTTGGACTGTCAGCAATTATGGTTATATAACGAGGACTAGAAGATACACTATGTTTATACTTTAGACCACCTGGGTGTATTAGGATGACTTCTTTTACGCATTTCAAGATTGCCTCTGATTATCAGTTACTAACACATATTTAAAAGATGTTGTTTTTTTTCCACTAGATCCCCCGGGAGAACCTGTGATCGATGGTTATTTGAAGGGAGATACTGTCAGGGCAGGTGATCCTTTAACCCTAATTTGTCTCTCACGTGGAGGAAATCCTTTAGCTGAACTTGTGTGGTACAAGAACGATGTCAAGGTGGACTTTTCCTACACAACAAGTGGGCAACGGTCAACTAACAAGCACACTTTTGTTGTAGACCATTCTGACAACAACGCCATCTACAGATGTGAAGCTTCTAGCATTGTGGTACCAGTCCCGTTGAAAGCGGAAATCAAGCTGCGTGTACAATGTAAGTATATAAGATTGTTTATGAAGCAAGTAAAGACGAGTTAGTTTAGTGTTCTCGTACTTGGTGGTCTTTCTATATAAATATGCTTACATTAAAGACTAAAGAAATATAACTCTAAAAATAAGCAATCTTTTCTTCTTGTTAGTGTTATTAGTCGATGTCTGTTATTATTTAAAGTCCTAATTATCTTCGTTCATATCTTATCTGTTGACAGTCAGCCCTGCTAAGGTGATTGTGAGTGGCCCTCGAGAAGCTAAGGCCGGTGACACCGTTACGATACAATGTACCACCGAAAGAAGCAGCCCTGCCGCCGAACTTTCATGGGTGGTTAATGGTAGGCCACTGACCTCAGAAAACATACTGACCCCTCATCCCGACGGAGGGTGGGTGACGTCATCTAATGTTACCGTTACTATTACAGCACAGGTCAGTGAAATGTCTATCGCATATCTTATATAGCATATTATTTTACAGATAACACATATAATACAGACTAGGTTTTTATATAGGTAACACATATAGAGTAGGTTTCTGTATAGATAACACATATAGAGTAGGTTTCTGTATAGATAACACATATAGACAAAGTTAGCAAGTCAGTTTATTCTATTGTACACTTAGTTCAAGTGAATTGGTGTTATGTGACGTAAGCAAGTCAGTTTCTTCTATAGTACACTTAGCTATTGTCAGTTAGTGTTATCTGACGTAAGCAAGTCAGTTTCTTCTATTTTATACTTAGTTGATGTCAGTTAGTGTTATGTGACGTAAGCAAGTTAGTTTATTCTATTGTACACTTAGCTATTGTCAATTAGTGTTATCTGACGTAAGCAAGTCAGTTTCTTCTATTGTATACTTAGTTGATGTCAGTTACTGTTATGTGACGTAAGCAAGTCAGTTTATTCTATTGTACACTTCGCTGTTGTCAATTAGTGTTATGTGACGTAAGCAAGTCAGTTTATTCTATTGTACACTAAGTTGGTGTGAATTAGTGTTATCTGACGTAAGCAAGTCAGTTTATTCTATTGTACACTTAGTTCAAGTGAATTGGTGTTATGTGACGTAAGCAAGTCAGTTTCTTCTATTGTACACTTAGCTATTGTCAATTAATGTTATCTGACGTAAGCAAGTCAGTTTCTTCTATTTTATACTTAGTTGATGTCAGTTAGTGTTATGTGACGTAAGCAAGTCAGTTTCTTCTATTGTACACTTAGCTGGTGTCAATTAGTGTTATCTGTCGTAAGCAAGTCAGTTTCTTCTATTGTACACTTAGCTGGTGTGAATTAGTGTTATCTGACGTAAGCAAGTCAGTTTCTTCTATTGTACACTTAGCTGGTGTGAATTAGTGTTATCTGACGTAAGCAAGTCAGTTTCTTCTATTGTACACTTAGTTGGTGTCAATTAGTGTTATCTGACATAAGCAAGTCAGTTTATTCTATTGTACACTTCGCTGTTGTCAATTAGTGTTATCTAACGTAAGCAAGTCAGTTTCTTCTATTGTACACTTAGTTGGTGTGAATTAGTGTTATCTGACGTAAGCACGTCAGTTTCTTCTATTGTACACCTCGCTGTTGTCAATTAGTGTTATCTGACGTAAGCAAGTCAGTTTCTTCTATTGTACACTTAGCTGGTGTGAATTAGTGTTATCTGACGTAAGCAAGTCAGTTTCTTCTATTGTACACTTAGTTCATGTGAATTAGTGTTAT